GTTTCACTTCAATTTATTGTGTCGTTTTAAAGTTTTTAGGCCAAGTTTCACTTATAAACTTTGTCGACTTTAGTTTTCTATCAAAGTAGGAGCTCTCTACCCTTTATGATGGATTTTTATGAAAAAAAATATATAGCTCTATACCATAAGCCTCCCATTGTTTGTCCCACAGCTTATAAGTAGTTGCATAATTTTAAATTTTAAATTTATTATTGAATTTGGCTTTAGTTTTTTCATCATAGTTTATTTTTAACACATTGACTTTTAAATCACCAAGACATACTCCATTTGTCACATAAAAAATCAACTTATGACTATAAATCTTGACATAAGCTAAACTAGCTGGGTGGCCCGCGCAATTGCGCGGCTAGCACCCATACAAAATTATCTATTTTTTAATATGATTTTACTTAAAATTTATTAAATAACTATCTTATTGTCTTAAGACTTTAAAAGACAAAACCTTATCATCCCCATGCTTCTAATTTTATGGTTTTTAAAAGTCATATCAATTGCTACACCTTACTTTGTCACGCCTTCTTTATTTGCTTGCTCGATCCACTATTGTTTCTATTTATTCTTTCTTTTTAGAACCTTTAAAAATCGGACCTTATAGTTTTTAAAGTTCATTTCTTGTTGGGTTACATTTTTATAAATTTTAGAAGTCCCATCAAACGTTGCTAGTATACTCCTCTATGGCCAGTCCATTGTCTCCTCTCTTTATTGTCTTTGAGGTTTTAAAAATCGAACAAAATTATCTTTTGGGTTCATTTTTTACTTTCTAGAAGTCATGCCAAACCATCAGCAGTTGTGCCATTGTACTCTATACGGCTCGCCCATTACCTCTCCTCATTATTGTCATTGAGATTTTAATATCAAACATGATGATCATTGGGGTTTATTTTTTTACTTTTTAAAGTCCTGCCAACCGCCGTGAACATGTTGCTTAATGGCATGTCCAACGTCTATCCTTTTAATCATCATCGAGATTCTATTTAGGGTTTTGTTAATATTTTTAGATGTATCATCAACCGTCAACACTCAATTGCTTTACATGTCTCATCAAACTGTCAACGGCTTCGTTACTATACTCCTCTAAGGCCCACCTGCTTCCTCCCCTCTTTATTTTTTTTTGAGATTTTAAAAACTGAACTGATTGTCATTAGTGTTTATTTTTCTACTTTCTAAAAGTCCCATCAATCGTCGTGACTATGCTGCTTAACGGCATGCTCATCGTTCCTCACCCTAATCATTATTGGGATTCTATTTAAAGTTTTGTTTATTTTTCTTAGATGTCCCATCAATCACTACCATTCTACTTCTTTACGCGCATATTGTCTTCTCTTTTTATTGTTATTTGTCATCGGTGTTCTAGAGATGGACTTCTTTTCTTTTCTTTTTATTTTGAAAATTCCATATTTTTCATTCCGATGGTTTTTATTTATAAACTATATTCCTATCTGAACTCTTTTAATTATTTTTTTGTTTTTGGAATTTATTTTATTTGTTCTTCCGAATATTAGTATTTGGTCATATATTCTTAGATGGTCCTTTATTTTAATAGTCATTGTTTTTTATTGCGAATTTTAGTTATGTTCATAGATGGTCTTTTATTTCAATAGTCTTTATTTTTTATTACGAATTTTAGTTATTTATAGATTGTATTCCTAGTTGAACTCTTCGTTTTCCTTTTCTAATTTTGGATTTTTTTTTCTAACTCTATGTGGCCCACACAATTGCGCAGCTAGCACCCATAAAGAATTATCTAATCGGTGCGGTGTTCATTGGCAAATTATCACGTTTATGGAGTGAGTTTGAACGGTGTCCCATGGGCCACGGCTAAAACCACGAAGTCGAAGTGTCCTGTAGCAAAATTTGCCTTTGTATAAAGATTAGTACACTCCTGAACGTATCTAAGCTATTATTAATTTATTTTTATTATGAAATTTATTTTCTTTAGAATTCTTATTGATTCGTATTTTAAATTTAATTTAATCCCGCATTGTGTTTCATTTGTTTTTCATCTGTACGGTATGTACTTGGCGGTAGTAATGGTGGCAATAATCACTGTACATAAATTGATATATATACATGTCTTACGTCAAATGGAAATGCTGCTAGGGTACATAAAAGGAAGTGCTTCTATGAAGAAAAGAAAAGGCTGAGTGCCTCAATCGGACAATAAGTCCTATTCAAATTAAGCTTAAGCTGCCTTGGTTAGGAGTCCGATCCAAGCCAGATCGTATATATTTCTATGTTTGATTTTATAATTTCGATCAGAATTTATTTTATTTTTTTATTTCAAATTTAATTTATTCTCATATTGGATTTTTATATTGACTCTTCTTTCAATATTACTTATTTTTAATTACGAATTTCAGTTATTTTTAAATTATATTTCTATATATAGATTCATCTTTTATTTTTTATTATTTATTATAATGAGGGAGTAAGAGAGGAAATTACTGCATAGTAGAGTCCTAATGGGACTTCTGCTCATGCATGCGCCTGATTTGATTCACAGTAGTATTTGTTTCGGTGCCCACTATCTTGGTTCGTATTGCTTTCCCATAAATCTATCAGGAATTCAATTTTCATATAAATGATTGTATTTTATATACAACTCTATCGATCAATCTACACCACTACAATCTGAATCTACTATAATTCTATTTTTTTCTTCTTTTCTCCGATTAATGTGGGAATTTCTAGCCCCTACAGTGAACGTGGTGCCTCCTTTTAAAGCTGTTTTAATAATATAACTAGCTGGGTGGCCCGCACAATTGCACGGCTAGCACCCATATTAAATTATATTTTTTAAATATAATTTTACTTAAAATTTATTAAATAGTTACTCGTTGTCTTAAGATTTTGAAAGACCAAACCTTATCATCCTCGTGTTTCTAATTTATTTCAGTTGCTACCTCTTACTTCTGTCTTATTAGCTCGCTCGATCTACTATTATTTCTATTCATTCTCCTTGGAATATTTAAAAATTGGATCTAAAAGCTTATAGTTTTATAGTTTTTAGAGTTTATTGTCCTGTTGGGCTTCTTTTTTATAATTTATAGAAGTCCCGTCAAACACTGACATTATACTCCTCTACAACCGTCCACTGCATCTTCTCTTTATTGTCATTGCTATTTTAAAAATCGAACATAATTATCGTTAGGTTTATTATTTTTTACTTTCTAAAGTTCCGCCAAAACGTTAGTGACTTTGTCACTGTACTCCTCTACAGCTCGCCCGCTGCCGCCGTTCTTTATTATCATTGAGATTTTAAAATAAAAAATGATTATCATTGGGGTTTTTTTTTTTTACTTTTTAGAAGCCCGAACCTTTAAAAAGTGAAACTTCTTATAGTTTTTAGAGTTTTATTGTCTCGATGGATTTCATGTTTTTTATAATTTTTAGAAATCCCGTCAAACACTGCCACTATACTTCTCTACGACCCGTCCGCCGCATAATCTTTATTGTCATTGGGATTGTAAAAATTGAACACAACTATCATTGGAATTCATTTTTCACATTCCAGAAGACCCACCAACCATCAGCGGCTCTACCATTGTACTTCTGTACGACCCGCCCGCTGCGTCTCATTTTTATTGTAATTAAGATTTTAAAAATCAAATATGATTATTATTGGGGTTTATTTTTTTACTTTCTATAAGTCCCCGCCAACCGCCTTGACTGATTGCTTCACGACCTGCCCGCCATTTTTCCTTTTAATCGTCATTAGGATTCTATTTGGTGTTTTATTAATAGTTTTTAGATGTCTCATCAACCGCTACCACTCTGCTCCTTTATATGCCTGTTACTTAATTAATCTCGTCATGTGCTTTAGATAGTCTTTTCTTTCAATAGTTTTTTTATCACCAATTTTAGTTATTTATAAATTGTATTCCTAGTTGAAATCTTTTTTTCTTTTTCTAATTTCAAATTTTATTTTATTTATTATTATGTTCTTTTGATATTTTTATTTTTTTTATTTTCAATTTTAGTTGTTTCAAAATTGTATTCCTACTTTAACTCTCTTTTTAATCTGCCTAATTTCGAATTTTATTGTATTTTTATTTCGAATTTTAATTAATCTACTATTGGGTTCTTATATGTACTCTTTTTCAATATTGTTTATATTTAATTCCGAATTTAAGAATTTTAAATTGTATTTCTAGTTGAACTCTTATTTTCTTTTCTTTTTTCTAATTTCGATTTTTTATTTTTTTATTCAGAATTTTAATTAATCTCGTATTGGATTCTTATATGGACTCTTCTTTCAATATTTCTTATTTTTAATTCCGAATTTCAGTTATTTATAAATTGTATTCCTACTCGAACTTTTTTTTTATTTTTCTAATTTTTAAATTTATTTTATTATTATTCCAATATTAATTAATCACGTATTGGTTTCCTATATGGACTCCTCTCTCCATATTACATGTTTTAAATTTCGAATTTCAGCTAATTTTAGATTGTACTTCTACTTAGACTTTTCTTTTCTTTTTCTCCGATTAATATGGGAATTTATAGCCTCCACAGCGAACGTGGTGCCTCCTTTTAAAGCTGTTTTAATAATATAATAGAATAGATAGATCCAGGTTAGTAGATAAAAGTTGATTTTTTTTATTGAACGACGTGAGTAAGTATCAACGTTTCATCCATAAATTATTTTTATATTGCCAACAAATTATTTTACGGCTAACTGCGTATCCGCTTAAGGCTACATTTAAACAAAACATGTTTTTAGCTAGTGATTAATTAAGTATTAACTATTATAAACTTAAAATAAAATTATTTATTAATTAAAAAATATATGTTTAGCGGTTTGGGAGGGTGCATATATGAAAAAGGAGAAAATAGCTCACTTTAACGAGCTAGTAATTCAAACTCAGCCGAGCTCGACCTTCAGAACCGAGAATGGCCAATAGATTATGCCCCTGGCCCTTCTGCTGCCCCGTCCATTTCCCGTCCACTTGACACTGATGCTTCGCACGAGAGCAGATTATGCCGTGATAATCACCTTTGGATCAAGCAAATCACGAAAGGACAACCTTGTCCAAATCACAGGGCGATAAATAGCCAGAACATGGCGAGATGCACAACGAAGCAGAGTGTGCAAGGAAGAGAGAGCGTGTGCTGTGGCTGTGCTGTGCGCCTGTGCAGCTGTGCTGCGTTTGATCCCCCTTCCCCTCCCTCGGAAACGGGGAAAAGCAAAACACTCCCAAAGCCCAAGACGGCCAGAGAGGAAGAAAGCAAGCAAAAGCAGAGAGAGAGAGAGAAACAAGGCAGCAGCAGCAGCAGCAGCAGTAGCAGAGGCTAGCAGCACAGAGAGGGGCCCCGTGATTCCCCCCCCCCCCCCCCCTCTTCATCTTTCACTTTCCCCATCTCTTTTTTTTCACCATTTTACCACTACTGCTGCCTCACGCAGTCACGACGCTGAAGTGGTAGTAGTAGTACGCTCTCAAAACCCAACCTTGAATCCGTCACGCTCACTCACGCAGCTCACAGGCTCACAGCTGCAGCTACTTACTACTGGTACGGGCTCAGGGCCAGCAGCCAGAGTGAAGGGGAGGCGAGGCGAGGCGAGCCGTGTCAATGTCCAAGAAATGTGATGGCGCGCTCCGGTGAGGCGACTGGTTAGGTTAGCCGAGGAGGGGGAGGAGGCGAGGCGAGGCGAGGGCGAGATGACACTGCAGATGGAGCCGCCGCCGCCGCCGCCGAGGCGGTCGGTGTCGACGAGCTGCGACCTGCACCCGGGGGAGACGTTCACGGGCTTCTGCGCCGCGTGCCTCCGCGAGCGCCTCGCGGGGCTCGAGGCGTCCACCGCCGCCGCGGCCGCCGCGCCGGGCCGCAGGTCCACCTCCGCCATCCGCTCGCTCTTCTCCAGGCCATTCGTCGCCGCCGGCGGTGGCGGCGGCGACGGCGGCGGCGGCGGCGCGGTCCCGTCGGGCTCCAGCGCCGCGGTCCCGGACCTCCGACGATGCAAGTCGTTCTCCTGCGGCCGCGGCGGCGACGTGCTCGCCGGTGGCTGCGGGGACGAGCCGCAGCGGCGGTCGTGCGACGTGCGCGGGAGGAGCACGCTCTGGGCGCTGTTCCACCAGGACGACCGCGAGCGCGTCCGCGACGGCACGGCGTTCGGGGCGTTCCCGGCCTCGTCCTCAGCCGCGGCAGCGGCGCTCGCCTCTGAAGTACAACCTCAGCCGCCGCCGCCGCCGCCGCCGTGCGTTCCTGAGGTGTTCCTGGAGGAGGAGATAGCTATGGCTGAGGAGTCTGACGAGATTACTCCAGTGGTGGAGCCAATCTTGGTGGTGGACACCTCCGGGGAGATGGAAACGGAAGCCAATGGTGGACGGGAGGCCAAGGCCATGAAGGACCACATAGATCTAGAGTGTTCGCAGGCCAAGAAGCCGCAGCCCAAGGACCTGAAGGAAATCGCCGGGAGCTTCTGGCTCGCCGCCTCGGTGTTCAGCAAGAAGTGGCAGAAGTGGAGACGAAAGCAGAAGCTCAAGAAGCAGGACGCCGCTGGCAGCAAGGCAGCAGCCGCAGCAATGCCGCCGCCGGAGAAGCCCTCCAAGCCCTCGTTCCTCCGGCGGAGTCGCCTCCGTGGAGAAGCCTGCTCGGAGTTCGCCGGAGGTCGGCGTTCGTGCGACACTGACCCAAGGTTCTCCCTCGATGCCGGCCGAATGTCCGTCGACGATGTAGGCTTCTCCTGGGACGAGCCCCGCGCGTCGTGGGACGGCTACCTGTTCGGCGCCGGCACCGGCATTGGCCTCGGCCGCGCGCCCCCGCCGCTCTCCCGCCTGCCGCCCATTCTCTCCGCGATGGAGGACTCCCCAGCCGGCATCGTCGAGCGTTCCGACGGCCAAATCCCGGTGGAGGACGACTCCCAGCCGGAGCCCGATCCCGACGCCGACACCCCGGGCGGCTCGGTGCAGACCCGAGACTATTACGACACGTCGTCGTCAAGCCGGAGGCGGCGGAGCCTGGAGCGGACCAGCTCGGTGCGGAGGCCGTCATTCGAAGTCACCGACGCAAAGCCAGTGCTGCCGGCGGCGGCCGCCATAACAAGCGTCAAAGATTCGCCGCTAATTGGGAGCTCAGAGTTCTACCACTTCCAGCATGCCGAGGACCTGCTCGAACACCACCGGTTCAGCACCAGCTCCCTCATCGAAGACTTCCCCATGAGCCTGGACGCCGCGTTCCCGGGCCCCGACAAGAAGCCCCGGAGGTGGCGCAAGGCGTGGAGCCTCTGGGGCCTGATACACCGCCGCGCCGCCGGCCGCAGGGGCGGCGCGTCCGACGTCGCGGACAGGGCCTTCTCGGAGCCGTGGCCGGAGCTGCGCGTCCGCGGGTGCAACGCCAGGATGCAGCGGTGCAACAGCAACGCCAGCGCGCGGAGCTCTTTCAGCAGCAACAGCGGCGGCCTCGGCAGCTCGAGGCGCAGCTACGTCGACGGCAACGGCAACGTCGTCAAGCGGCGGCGGGAGGAGTGCGCCCTGGAGCGCAACCGCAGCGCGCGCTACTCGCCGGGGCACGCTGACAACGGCATGCTGCGGTTCTACCTCACGCCGATGCGGAGCGCCAGCGGCCGGCGCGCCCCGGGGCTACCGGCCAAAGGCGGCCGGCAACTGAGGTCGCAATCGTTCGCGCGTAGCATGCTCCGGCTGTACTGAGTTGTGTTTTTCGTTGCAGCAGTAGTGGAGGCTCAATGGCAATGGTATAACCATAAATCTTTTTTTACATCCTTGTGTAGCGCAGTGTTAATTCCGTTCATTTGGGGGGTTGGATTGGATAGAATGGAGGTTTATCTCATAATCACCTCTTAATATCTTGTCTTGTGCCGTAGTATCTGGACAACGTACTAACTATCGATAACGTGTAGTAGTAGCTGTAGTAATGCTGCAGGCCAGAATGGCAGATCGACCGATGATCGGGATCGGAGGATAGAAGCTGCAGCTACAGCTATCCTGCAAATTCTAAACTGGTGTCCAAGTCATGGTGAAGAGGGGTCCTACTAGACAGTGCCGAATTCTGAATTCGTTTGACATGGCGCTGCCTTGCCAAGCGGCAGCTGAGCGCTACTACTAGGCTCGGCCCCGGCCGCTAGGCTGCACCTGACCGACCGATCCCTTCGCGAACTGTAGCTGCCGCTGCCTCGGAAACCGTTAAAGTCGCGCTCGTATTCCGCTGGTCCCGCCGTGCCACACCCCCAAGCCCCAAGTGCTGTGCGCGCGGGCGCGCGGCGTCGGCGTCGTCGCGTCGCGTGTTGCGTTGCAGCTCGCGGCGCGGGTGTGTTTGTTCTACCGTTCTACTAGCGTTTGGATTTGGTCGGTTGGCTTCACGACGCTGCGGGGTGCGGGCCGTGCGCCGCGGCGGGCGCGTGCGTGCGTGCGCACGGGGTTTGTTGGGGTCCGGCATCTGTGGGATCTGTGGGGAGGGGAGATTCTGATTTGGAGGGAGGGGAGGACGTACGTGGCCATGAGGCCATGAGGGGGGGAGGCTCAAGTAATCGGCGGTGTGCCGGATCTAAGGTCGATGTGTGGGGATTATGATTATCTTATGCGTCGCCGGACATGTGCACGAGAAACCACATGTTTGGCGAAGGACTCATCGAACTGGTACTGGAACACAGTTTTTTTTTTTTTTTTTTGAGATTGTTAGGAAGGGAAACCGGAGTTTGCATTGTAAGCGTTGAATGGTTGCCATAACTTGTACCATGTCATTTCTTTTTCAGTTTATTTACACGATCCGCTTGGAAGCAAGCTTTCTCTCGCCCCCCACAAACCCTTAATCAATGTTATAACGACGCTGTCGTCTCTAAGACTCTGTAACCTTTTTTTTTATCTATCAATGAAAAGTTCAGGTGGGAAAACTCTCCTTTCCAGTGTTTTATCAAAACAAATAGTTTATTTACACGAAACATCTATGCACACATTCCTCGCAAAAAAAAAAAAGGATGTATACACACATTCACTAGTATGCCTGTTAATACATGGTTAAAACGAGAAGATCAGCAACAAATATCTGGCCTTTGTCGCTGAACTCTTCAATATTTCTCTACCGGCGTGGGAGTTATATTTAACCAAGGACCTAAGAGGCGAACCAATTAGCTAGTGATCAGCTAAATGGGGATGCAAGTGAACAATCGCACTATTAGAGTGAAAACAGACAGGTACAATCATATTATGATATTCTCATATCTTAACATATATTTTCCTTTAAAATCAGAGCCAGAGCCAGATACGAATAGTACTAGATAACATATCACTCATCCCGTATTCTATTCAGTATTATTTCCTTCGAATCGGATTCAGGACAATTATCTATTTGTATCTCTAGTTTATATATATATAAATATAAGAGGCAATTATAGTGTTAGAAGATATACAATAAAGGAAAAAAATATACAATATTACATGTGAGCTCGTAAAATAGTGATTAACCAATATTTTATCATGTTTGTAGGTGGATTTATAATAGACTTTTATATATGTTTTATAATATAGGACATACGGACACGGCTACAAGTCTTTCATATTCTAACCCATATTTTTCATGGATGGATATTATCGAGTATCTCTTTTTCTCCCATATTTTTCTCGCAAGTCTCGGATCGGGTGAGTGGCTGAGAAATACACGCCTCATTTTCAACCCAACACATTATCCATAAAAACTTGCTTAATAATTTATTTAGTACAAAGTTTGAATTTTTTTTGACTAGGATGTGTTATGCAAGGAAAAAAAGGTTGCCCACCCTACTTGCGTTCTTACAACCAGATGGTTAGAAAGAGAATGTGTCGGAGGTGAGGTAAAAGGTGTATTTTTTGAAGACTTTTTGTCGGCTGCTGCTTATAAGGTAAAGATATGTCTGAAGCGAGAAAAATAATTTTAGGATAAGATTTACATAGTTTTTCTCTCTCAAGTTTTAGCCATCCAAAAGCCAAAGCTAAGTAATATTTTTTTAAAAAAAACTATTATCAAATTGTCGACGAGTGGTACTTGTGGACCGGATGAGTTGGGTATTGAGGTACGTTAGAACGAGGATCTACATAATACGATATCAAGCAGACAAAATACAAGGTTTATACTGGTTTAGGCCCCTTGTCAGGTAATAGCCATAGTCCAGTTTATATGAGATTGATGATGAGGAACCACAGATTACAAAGGAAGTAAACAAAACAGATGATACCGACAAGATCGTAGTCGATGAATTCGACGAGATCTCCCGGCGACTTGGCTCCGCGTACTCTGGCTTCGTGAACTATGGTGGGTGTGTATGCAATGAAATTCGATGCCTTGCACCCCTCCCTAGGGGTCCCTTTTATACCACGGATCATCTTGACCCCCAATTAAGGCCTGGAGATATTTGATCTGGTACGGTATAACATAATCTCTATCCCTTCCAAGTAGGATTTTGGAAATCACTTATCTCGTAGAGATATTTCCGTAATTTGCAACAGATTCCAACGACGTATACGGAAACAATCCATATACGTGAAAGTATACCTTATCGGTATATTCCATAAGTCGTAGGATAGGAGGCATGTTTTATCCGTAACCCTGACACAAATTAAACTACAAATTTAGAAGTTGGTTAGTTCAAAAAAAAAACATCCGGTCTGGAGAGGGAGTTGTGGAGGAGAAAGAGAGGCGAAATGGGTTAGAGTTATCAACTGTGGAATAGAGGCAGCAGCTCATCTCCGTCATCAGGGAGTCCAAATCTAGCAAAACCTGGTCTCGTAGCTAAGCCCGTCACCCTAGTTGTCTTCCACAGCTCGTAGCCAAATCTAGCCAAAAAGAGGAGATGAAGAGGTAGTATCTCGACCAAGCAGTATCCCTTGAGCTTGCGAGTCACCGAGCCATTCTTGGTCGTCCCTCACTTCGTTATCATGCTTCTTCAACAAGCACCTATGCACGAGGGAGAGCTGGAGACGAAGATCATTAAGGATCCGTCATGATTTGAGGTTGTTTGGAACCTCTTTGTTGCACCAAACCACTTGTCGCTATCGGGGTTATCCGGAGGAGCTTGCCGTGCGGCAGCCAGCCAACAGCAGCTACATTGCTGCAACCAGCCAGCAGAAGATACATATGTTGCAACCAGCCAAGACATTAGCAAGATACATTGTTTCCTCGAATCCGTCCGCTGCTGGCCTGCTGCAATCTAACGGTTGGCCTGCGCAGCCGCAACCCAGGGCGGTAAAGCAGCTCCACCTAATAACCCTATCGTAGAGTCTGGATTTAGACTAAGGTGTAGATCTGGCTAAGTTTGTGTTGCTCACCGTTGTCTAGATCTGAGATATATATACGGTGGATCAACTCATCAACCCTTAGGTTAGTCTCCTTCCCCCTATCTCTATCTCATCTCGTTGTCCTCTTCTCCCATTTTAAATTCATGCCTCACTATTTCTCGTGTTACCGCACTATGTTAGTTCTTATATTTTGGGATAAATTTTAAATGATAGATGTAGCTATATATTTTGGTATGTAGGGAGCATTTCACGACACCTAAACTTTTAAATTAATGATATGTTGTTCTCTTTACATTTGACTTTAAAATGTAATTAGCGGTGGAAAAACTTGAAGCTCGTGATTCGGATCGACTTAATCTTGTAGTCATAATTAGTCGAACCGAACGGGCTTTTAGCTCATGAGTTTATCAAGTCAGTTCGCGAGCTGCTCATTTAGGTTGTTAGCATAAATATCACAATATCTAATTATACTTTGTGCCGTTTAGCCAGTGCTTAATCTTTAGCGACATCAAATCAATTTTATGTTCACATACGTATAAATTTAAAATTATAGAAGTGGTATAAACAAGATGATTTTTTTTTTGCCGGGAACAAGATGAAGGTTGTTAACTACTTCCTCTGTTCCACAAAAACTCAACCTTCTAGTAAAATGAATGTAGACAAAGAGATACCCAGGTTCATTGCACTAGAAGGGGTCACATCCCCTCGTAGGTTTAGTTTTTTTGAATGGAGAGAGTAGTCTACTCGCGAGTCGGGCTGAATTTTTAATCGTTAAGGTCAATGAGCTAAGTTAAACCCAAATGAGCCTAATCTTGATTCGTTAAGGGGGTGTTTGGGTGAGAGGTACTATCACCCAAACACCCCTAAACATTCCTACATGGTCATCAGTCATGGACAGTTGGAGTTGGACACAAGGCGATTCTTTCCGAGAGCGAAGCGAGAGTCCATCGACAGGGCTATACCACGGCGGAATGAATACGATGAGACTTGATTGGGCATTCAGATGTGTACGTGATGGCGAGTGAAGTGGCAGCGCAGCGCAGGCGGGCCAGCTAGCGCCTCTGATACCCCCGCTGTTAACTCTCGCATTCATTGCTCTGGCTGCCGCAGTGAAGGCGAACACATACGAGCGAATATATGGTGATGCTGGCTTATCGCATCGACGTTCCTTTGCGTGACTCTTCGCTCGTTGTCTCATCTCATCTTCTCATGGAGAGAGCCATCTACATCCATTCCATTCCATGGACTTCTCCTGTTAACAGTTAGTAGGCAACCGAACTGACCCGACTGTTAGTATACGTGAAGTAGTGAGACTCGCGTGGCATAACGTACAACATGTTGGGTTTCGGCTGTTCTACGTGGGCCGTGCAGTCAGTCACACGTAGTACTACTCTCTCGGCTGTGGATATACTCCACTGTGGTGCGGTGAACAAGAACAGAGATCCACGGAACAAGTGCACGGTGCACGGAAGGCGCTGTACTGTACAGTTTGTCACCTCCGAGTTCCAACCCGTTTCCATTACGGCGAACTGTTTCGGTCTTTTCCGTCCGGCGAGTACTTGGATCCATGGTTCAGA